TTTTTTGGTTCATGGGCGCAAACTTCATGTGTTTTCAGCTGGGCTGGAAAACCTATCAAACATTGGTTTTGTGGTTGGTTTCAGCTCAAGCTGCAGCATTTTAGAAGGAAGAATTGGCCCTGTCTTTTGCATTGCCAGCTCCCTATGGCAAACGCAAACTTAGATGGTCTAGCCTCAGAGTGGGAAGCTTGTGTTGCTGTCAGGGAATTTGTCAGGGTGAAGGGTTGCCTTATTGCACCGGCACTTCGTATGGTGGAGCCGCAGTGCGTTGTTGCTTGTGGTGAGCGAAACTTTGAGCAGCTGGCGCCCGTTGCCAAACGACTCCGTTTGCCCGATGGTGCAGTGGGGCAAGTCACAGTTCCCGATGTTGTCAAGCAGAGTTTTGTCTCAACTTTAACACTTTTCATTTTGTTAACATCTGCTTGAAATACATAAATTATGTGAAATTGTTTTGCAGTATATTTTCAACCTCCATATCCAGCACTGTTTCTACTATGGCCCCATGTCAAAGATGAGGATCAAAAAGCTCTTTGACTTGATGAAGCTTCCAGCTCCAGGGAAGAAAGATCTCAAAAGGGAGGCAAAGTTGGTGAAAGGGTTCATGGTCTTGCTGAAGAAAAAGCTCAACCGTGATGTCCTTTGCCGGAGTAAGATCTTTCAGAAGTTGATGTCTCTCGTGTTCCACCCGGAGGGAAATGCTGAGGATTGGGATTGAACAAAGTAAAGAAAACAACATGTTTGCAAGACTTGCCTCCTTAAATGCATCATGCACTTTCGAAAGAAACTCTTAGGTGTTTGCTAAGAAATCAACATGTACATGGTTGGGGTTCACATCTGGAGGAGGATGGCGACAAGGAGCAGGAACCACAGGCTGACGATGGTGAGGTGTCAGGTGATGAAGTGCACATGGACAAGGTTGGGTCGGACCAGGACGAAGAGGATGAAAGGGACGATGACATGGACGATGCCATGCAGCCTTTGACCTTGGATGCGCAATTTTCCTCTGTGGCTCATTTTGAGGCAGAGTTCCCTGCGTTCCCTGACAAAACACCTATGCATGAAGAGGTTCCCGAACCGGAGACTCAAGCGCTTTGTTCCCACGCTGATGATACTCTCAAAGATTCTGTGCCCTCACCTTCCAAGGGAATCGAGGTTGACCACGAAGACAAATGTGTTTTGATCGACGATTCACCTGCAAAGGGTACCGATTCAGATGATCTTGAACCTGATGAAATTGCCATCCAAATCCGTGAACTTCAGAAAGCCTTGGCCAATGCCAAACGGGAGCAAATGGCAATGATTTTTGGCATTGTTATCAACAGTGCTTTTGATGAACATTCTTTCACCTCAGCTGCTTTTGCTTTCCCAATGCATACCTCATCATACCTCATCTCCCTAACTTCCTGGCCACTTGAACTTGAATCCTAAATCCTAAGGAAGGCCAAGCAGGCCCTGGTGGAGAAGAGCCACCAGACCCCGGTCTTTGTCATGGAGAGTTTGCCCTTTGGATTAGAGGGCGATGAGACACAACCGCTTGCCCCTCAAGAGCTCGAGCTTCTGGCTGGCAGCTTTGAAGCTGAAGAGATTGAGGTCCCATCAGCTCCTGTGGTCACTAGATTCATTTAGCCAAGAGTGTTTTTGTTTTTGGATCGTATATGATTCTAAGTTTGGATTTGGGTGGCCGTTTCAAACCTGAAAGACGTTGGTTTTGCTTGCATCGAGGTGCTACGTCGCTCGCAGTTTGCCGTCAAGCTGCAAGAGGAAGTGGAACCCAAAGATGGTGACACAACTGATGTCCCCAAACGAGGAAGGGGGGCGGCCATCAGCCAAAGGCAAGGCCAAGGCAAAGGCAAAGGGAAAGGCTAAGGGAGAAGTGAAGGGAAAGGCTGAGAGCCTCAGCAGGGCGAAGAGTACCACCTGCCTGGGGGATAATGGCAACACAAAAGATGTTCCTGAACCAGAAGCACCCATGGATGAACGCCCTGATGAATCAGAGGCTGTCGAGCCTAAGATGGAGGAAAGGGCCAACAATGAGGCGCCTGAGAAGCTTCCAGCAGATGTCGAGGCAAAGGCTGCTGAGACAAAAGGCGACCAAAAGCCTGAGGCAAAGCAGGAGGCCAAGGATGCTCGGAAGCGAAAGGAGCAAATGATCGAAGACAAGTCGGGGGGGCAGTGATGTCATTGACCCAGCCAGGAAAAGGAAGAGAACAGGAAAGAAGGATGATTCCAGCAAGAAGAAACAGGACCCCAGCAAGCCCAGTGAAGCACCCGGAGCTCCCAAGGAAGTTGCTGAGGCAAAGGTTGGGGAACCCGTTCCGGAAGCACCTAAGAGGAAGTTGGACAAGACCCAGGTCCAGACATTTGCCCGCAGAACCATGCCCAGTACCGAGCTTGGACGCCTTAAGTGGTTGGCTTTGCGAGAGACATTCAACCGAGAGATCCGCCCGACCCTGAAGCACTATTCAGCTCACGAGGACCCATGATGTTTCCCTGCGCAAATTCTTTCATCATGCTGTGAACTTTCTTGACTTAACACAGTGGAACTAGTTTTCAGGCATTCCAAGAAAGGCCAAGAGACCCTAAATATGTTTTTGTTGCACCTAGGTTTCTTTCCCTTTAAGGCTTTTGGATTGAACAAATGTGCCACCCAAATACTTTAGGGTCTGTTGGCCCAAGTGGCTCATTTTGCAATCAAAATAAAACAGCCTGAAATTTATCAAATAGTTTTGAGTTTTGTGATTCAAGTTTCCTTTATAGTTTTACCTGTGGTATCTAGATGTGCCCGGACCTAGCCCTATCTGATGTTTGGATACCATGTAACCATATAGGTTACCATATCCAGAAAGTTGGCTGCATGCATTCTTGCATATGCACCTGGGAAACGCAATTGGAACATTCAAGTCTTGGGACGATGAAACTCGCCTCCTTATAAAGGCATTGAATGTCTCACCATGTGACGCTTGGTATGGTCATGACCCATGCTTTGACAGCCTAGAAACTGGCCTGCATCGAAAACCCTGAGGACAAGTTTTGGAAGTATACCACCAAGCTCTGGGAGACCTCAAAGGTGGATAAGGACAACATGAACGACATGGCCGGAAAAGCAGCCGCTGAGTACCTGGCAACTCTCACGGGAGGTGCTGATCTGTAGCTCCGCCTGCCAGCCAAAGCATTGATGCGTCATCATACCATCCCAATGTCTATAGCACTTGTGGTTCATGTTGGATTCAACTTTTAGCAAAGGTCTGGTATGGCAGAGATCGTAGTAAATGCCATGGGCATCCAAAAGCTTCTGATGCCCAAATTAGCAAATATGGGGATGTTTCTAGCACTTAGCTTCTACAATCTCTTGCTGCGGTTCCAGGGTCGCCGGAGGGAAGGAACTAGGTGATGGCTATCATCAGTTCAAAAGTCTCAAAGTTGGTGATGCCTGGGTAGTTGAGATGGTATCTATCTAAAAGTCTTGTTAGATCAACGCTCTTTGGTCACCCACATTCCAGCCAGTTATAGCCAGTTCCATAGTCAAGATCGGCTCAGATCCTACGCAAACATTGCAAACCGCTGCTGCTAGCTTTGTGGAGATGTGCAGAAAAATGTACGACGTTGGCCTGCTTTCAGGAAGGGACCTCCAATAGCCCTTTGGTGGAAATCTGTGGAATTGCTCTGTTTGCATGGCATTATTTTTTCTAATTTGAATCTGGCTATGGATCACCCTGCCCCATAGGCAACTCGCATTTTCCAGCAACCAGTGGCTGCTTACATTGCATTTCTTGGCATGTATAAATATGTGGCTTTGAGGTTCGTAGTGGGCCAGGCCACAAAAACAGCCACCTTGAAACCAAAGCCTGGAGCTGACTGACACTTCACAATCAATGAACCAGTTCAACTTGTTTGCTTACTCTATCTATAGTTTATGTTTGTCTAGCTGCAGGCCTTACACCGAACGTCCAGCTCCGTCTTCGAAAGGCCCCCGAATCTGTATTGCCCTTTCCCGCCGGCTTTCCAGGCAGTGCGATGGACGAGCCTCTGCCCAGAATCGTGGAGATGCTTGGTCGTCCTGGCATGGCTTTTCAGGTTGGAGATGTTGCCTCTTGATTCTCACAGTTGTGTTCCGCATTGTGCATGGGCGGACCATTGGAGTGAAGCATTGAAGCCTTGCCCATTCAACATGCCATGTTCCTACGGAGCTGTTGTGGTTCCATGGGTTGCACCGAGCATTAATCGGTGTCGTTAGTGGGTGGTTCGCCATGACACCAGCCCGGAAAGCAAAGCTCGATCTTATACTACATCGATTGCATCATTTGAATGCCCCCAAGGCAGGAATCCTATATATACTCTACTCTACTTACTGCCCTGCGCTACTGCAATGTTTTTCCATTGATTAGTTGGCATGTTTTGCATTGGCATACAGCGTGCAATACCAGAAAACAATAATTCCTCTCGCCTCTTCCTCACTGAAGGTTCTGATGGCATGCGCAATACTTCTGGCATTGAACCCTGAAATGAGTATGTTTGAGGAGGCCCGGGGTGGGTTCAGCATGGTACCTTGAATGAGATTGATTCAGAACCTGGCAGTCAAGTATAGCTAGCATGCCAGCTAGTTGGAGTTGCACGCATGAGTATATAAATGCAACAAGGGCTTGATGTGTTCCCACCTTGCCTGCTCAGAAGTATAGCTTTATCGAGCTCTTTGCTGGGGAAGCGTGGGTGACCCGCTGCATGAAGTTTCATGGACACAGTGCTGCGGCATTGAATCTATTGTATGGTGACCCACAGCCAAACAAACAAAATGCAATGGATCTACTTTCTGATGCTGGGTTTGGGTTCCTTGTCGCAAAATGTTGAGGTATTTGGTCTCATGGTAGAGGGATGTGTGCTGAATCTATATTGATGTGTTGTCTACATGTATGTTGAACCAAACAATGAACACAATTGGTGTATGCCTGGAATGTGAGGCTGGCGCTGATGACCATATTCAATGGCAAAATGGGGGCCTTCTTGTGTGTGATGGGGCTGATATGCTCAAGCTTTGTGAGCATATCAGCTGGAACTCATTGCCGAACTCCCCATGCAACATGGGGACGAACAGATGTACCAATGGTGGCTTGTGGAAATATGCTTGCTAGCCGGACCCTAGGCGAAACTATTTCCAAGTAGAGACTTCTTTTGATAGCCCTACAGCTGTTGTTTCCTAACTGATTGCACCCCAAAAAAGATCCTGTGTCTCAGGGTTTTTGTGGCATCTATTGAAACATATTCCATATTGCAGATGGGAAACCTTTCATGATGGTGCCAATGCTAGGTTGGACATCCCATATAGTGTGATGTCATTCTTGGTTTTGCCCAGGACAGTGCTGCTGATCTATGCCGTCGCTGCAATGGACGGAGCCTGGGTCTTGGAGCAGCCCAGGTCATCGGCATTGCCTTGGCATCCGAGAATCGGCCAATTGTGGAGATCTTTACCCAAGGTGCCTGGGGAGTACCAGAAAAAGGGGTGTATTCTGGAAACCCCTATTTGTGCTCTTTGGAAGTGTCCTCCATAGACCATATGCACCATACAACTAAACAACGCAACATATCCTTTCTCTGCGCTATATTGCACTCACATACAATACTGCAGCAACTTCAGGTAACCCTACCAGACACAAAATGTGATCGTCAGGTCTACCAAGCACTTTGGTGGATGGGGCATTATGGGAGCTTGACGATGAAGCGTCACATCGCTTGGTCAAATTGTCGAACTGTCAAATGCTTTGACCTTGGTGTGATGTGCAAGGCTTATCAACAGAAACATTTCCGTCATGGGGCAAAGTCAGCCCGAACTTACACGAACAAAAAAGGCAAACCTGCTTACCATGGAACCAAATACTTGAAGGGGACACAGACCCTAAGCTGCATGTCAGTGTTAATCAAACAACTGTTAGGGATAAGTGTTGCAAACTCGTGGCTGTGATATGAACTGTGATATGATTGCAGTGCAAGTTTGCATTCTCCTATGCATTTGGTTCCTTGGATCATTCGTTACATCTAAGGACATATCCGCCAAAATTTGGAATGAAAGTGGCCCGTTTGCATGGACGTTTTTGCTCCAAAAAGGAAGCCCTTCCAAAGTCAGCCTTTTCGGAACCAGTTGGTGATGGCTTGAAGCTTTTCAGCCAGCTGGAATGGGGGGACTGGTGGGAATGCGCCAACATGAAATCGGTTTTCCTGTACCTCTGCGGTAGCAACGATTTGGAACTTGGAGAGTGGAGGGATCTATTCCCCACTCATGTTTAGTTGGTGGCAGTGCTTTGAACTTGGAAGCTGCCTTTGGATGGCCATCTGACGTGGGTTTTCCCAAGTCAAATTCAAGAGACACTTAGGAGCTAAGAGATGAACCCGTTTGGAAAAGTCCAGGTGCCTGCTGTGTGGTTCACAGAGCTGCAGTATTACGACAACACAAGGTGCTTGGTCATGGTGTCGTAAGAGTTTCTATCGCATCTGCTTCTATCTGGAGGCTAGTTATATAGGGAGCTTTGTTATTGAGGCTTGTTGCACTGTATGATTGTTATCTTCCTGAAGGGCCTTCCAACAAAACACCAAATAATAAAACATCTTCCATTTGGTTGTATTGTTTTGTATTGGGGGCCATCGCACCACAACATGATGATTCGTTCAACGTGGTTGTCAACCCTTTATTAACATATAGCATATATATATATCGCGACCATTGCTATTGAATTCACGTGTGGGCTCCCTCCACACAGGCAAAGGCTCTGCTGGACTACTAGCTCCCTCTAAACAAAAAAGCTAGCTCAACCTCTAAGTTCACCAGTGTGGATCGATACTATCAATGGTTTTGTGTGCAGTCACTGTGCCCAATTGCAGCCCACCAAGATCCCTCGACAGCTTTTGGGTGTTCAATGGTAGTCACACTTGATCTTTATGAGAGTTACTGTTTTTTTTGGTTTTGCTGGGCTCACCCTATGGAATTATAAGCAGTTTTATTGTTTTTTATGGAAATCTGAGGAATACATACTAAGTACGGACAAAGTACGTACCCGGTACGTACCCCAGATCCAACCCGTACAAAGGCCGTGTTTTGCCCGTATAAGGCCGTATAAATGCGTACTAAAATACGTACTTTTTCCGTACTCTGCTGTACTGGTGGTTTTGGTGGATTTGGACAGATCTGGAGGACATTTGTGGGCCAAATAGCTGTTTGAAGCATCCTTTGAGGAGTTTGAAGGGAAATCATCGATTTTGCTAACGGATTGCCCTAAAAATCCTCTTCCAAACCTCCCGTTGCCGTCACACAAGCCATCCATCCATCCGCTAGGGCTTTGGGCTCACGAGTTGTGCTCTCTGAGCCTGGCATCAGTGGGCAATGGCAGAACCTAAGGGTAGAAAGGTTCCTTCTAGACAGTGGTCTTGTAGTGAGCTTAAAGATGGAGATGCGGCGCTAACACGTGTCAAGCGAGAACCAGAAGAAGACCTTGAAACAAAGATCAAGGAGAGAACCCAATCTTTAGCAACTTGTATGGAACCACATTTACGGTCAAGTTTTTTTTCCATACTTTGGGCACACCAGACCTGCAGGACTATGAGATGCAGTTGCAAAAGATGAAAGAAATGGCATCGAAAGTGGTTTCTTGGATCATAGCATGCAACTGGGTTTTGTTATCTACTCAATTGCCCCTGGGAAAATTATGATGTCATCCATCCATTCACCACTGCTTTTGCCATCCATCAAACCACAAAAAACACCTTAACCATCCAGTGTGCTGGCGATCTGAGGCAGCTTTTGCGAATAAGCCAGGTGATGCTGCTGCCGGTGGTAGCTCTCCACATGATGATGAGACTCAACCAGCAACTTGGGATTGCACCCCTTGCAACATGCCATTGAGGTGTTTGCAATTAGCAATTGATCACAAAAGACTGCTTTTGAATTCAACACATATGGTTGTGACAAGGCAACTGAAGAGGAACTGAACAAGATGGCCAAGGGTAGGACACGGCCACGGGCTGCGACAAAAGCTGCCCCAAAGCCAGCACCAAAACCAAAGCAAGCAGCAGCAGCCAAAACCAAAGCAGCCGCGCCTGCACAGGGCAAGCGAAAGGGACCAGCTTCGCCATCTTCGCCGCCTGCCCAAGCATCTCCCAACCCAGCTCCGCCGAAGCGCGTCCATGGTAAACAAACGCAGGCAGACCCCCAACAGACTATCAAAGAGCTTCTAGAGGCCCCAGCTTGCTGGTCAACAATTCTGCCACTCATGTTACTTTGAACAAGCTTGTAGCATCTTGCAAACTGTGATTGACATTCAATGCATTAACAGTTTTGTGTGTTTTCAGTGTACTTATACCTGGGGAGGCCAACAAAAGAATGCAAGAAGAGATGGAAAAGCTGCGTGCTTCCTCGGCACGCGAGAAGAAGAAAAACATGGCAACACCACCCCCTAAGATTCCAGCGCCCTCCCCTGCACGAACTCCAGGTTCTTCCTCTGTGAGCAGTGCCCCAAAAGCCAAGGCCAAAAGCAATCCAATGCCCCCAGCCGAAAGGCCACCCCCTGAAACTGAGGGTGCAAAACTGAACCGTTTGAGGCGACTTTGTGAAAAAAAAACCTTCAGGAAAATGCAATGTTCCGCCTGCAATCCATGAAAAATGGGCCAAATCAACCAAAGCAGAAAAGGAAGCCATGATCGAGGAACTAGAAGCTGTGAACTGGAGCAAGGACGGAACAACATGAACAACATACAACAACATGTCAAGCTGTTTTTCCATGATGCGCAGCATTCCGTACCTGTGATTGTTGATGGGTTTCCAGGATCTTTTTGTGACCCGGATCACAAAGACCATTTCCCAAAAGAAGACCCTCCAGCGCAAGCAGAAGAGAGGTTGGTTCACGAAGGAGCAAATGGCCAATACTTTGGGCTGGAGCGCGTCCCTTTCTTAGCTAACTCTTCTGATTTGGTCACGGCTGCCATGGCAGCGTCCCTGCACCCTGCCTGGATGAACTTGTTTTGTTGGCTTCCTCTCCTGGCATGGGTGAGAGTGATTCAAGCGGTCAGGTCCTACATCAAGTGTGTCGTTGAGTTTTGCGAAAAGCCGGGCAATGAGAGGCTTTGGAAGATTCTTACTTGCAGGTCCAGTACAGGACATTGTTTTCAGGATGTCATGTGAAATGCTTCCATCAACTTGTGGTCCAACAACAGTAGAGCCAATTCTGCACCACTCAACATCCATTGGAACTGGTTAGATAAATTAACAAGACTTTTGTTCTGGTGTTGGTGTACTTAGGAAAGATCGATACAATCCAAAACTTCGCAAATACTACGTGGTGTATAGTGAAGAAGACGACGATATTAGCGAAAACGAAGAGGCTCACAGGGCAGAGGAGTTTGGTGAGGTTACCTGGCACCAATTAACATGCAACCAGCCTCGACTCAATCAAAGTCACCGCCCTTGTTCGGCAGCAGCCTGAGGCAAATGAGCAGCTGGCTTTCCAGATGCTTGGCACACGCCGGGAGGGCTCTGAGTCTGAAGAGGATGATGAGAAGGAGGAACAGGCCGAGCAGGTCAACACTGCAGAAAAGGATTGGGGGGGTGACATTACTGGGAAACTATGTCTTGCCACACACCCTGGTCCATACTTAGCGTGTGATCTTCTGTCCACTGGAATGGGAACAGAAACATGTCCAAAACTGTCCAAAAGCATGTTCTTAACTGATGTTCTCTCAATGGCTTGCGCAGGAGTATGCAAAGTTTGGGACTTTCACTCAATCCCTGCTGAACCGCAGCTCTAAGCTATCGGAATTGATTGGGCAACTTGAGTCAGAACTTGGCGACAAAGGTCAAGACAGCTCTGAAGGAAAACGTGTGGCCAAGTCCCCCAACTGAAAATACTGGTTTCATACCAATCCCTCCCAACAACGTCCAACTTCCCTTGATGGATTCCGGCTCAGGTCTGTGCAAGCCATGGAGGATGCCATTGAAATCCTCAATGGCCAGTTTGCTGCCTGCGAGCTTGTCAAGCTGGATGCGGCGGGGCTACGTGCAAAAGAGATAGGGGAGTCTGAGAAGCAATCGTTTCTTGGCTCTATAGTGGAGCTTGGGCAAAACGAAACCTCCACTTCCAATTAAAATGGTCAAATATGGTCAAATTGTTACCTGCATGCATGGTGGCACACAATTAGATTCACTGTCCTCAATGCGCAGTGGGCCAATTGAAAGCAGGTTAACACATGTCTTTTTGAACATTGGGAAGTGGCAGAGCTAGCACGGCCCGAGGCTGCTGAAGAAGATCGTTGGTCAGACGCGTGACACGACTGCAGCGTGCCTTGTACAAAGGGATATCACTTGTTGATCACCTTGGTGGTACTGTGGGCATTTGTTTTCGATGCGCCTACCTCTTGAGGTGCTCAAGGGTGACAACAACGGAGCTTGGGGCAAAGACATTTGTCTGCATTTACATTGTGGCAAATCTATACAATGTAATGCATTCATTGATACTGCATGCAGTTAAGATAGTGCACATGCACCTGTAATCCTTGTCAAGGATTGATCCACATGTTTCCTTTGAGACAGTTGTGTTTTCAAGATTGAGATGCGTCGCATGGCCCAAACTCCCAGGAATCTTCTGAAGGTGCTGAGGAAGATGAATGAATCGTGAGGTCCTGTGACCTTGAGCCCTGGTCAGTCCGTGGGTTTGGTGGCAAAGTCCAGGAGCTAGTTTTGATTGGGTTGGCCACGTGCAGAACATGTGGCACAGTTGAGTGATCATTCCCTTGGGGTTGGCTGCAGCCGCTAGTGGTTGGGGAACAATGCAGGCATGACCCAATGAACACCACCAAATTCAAAACCCCATGGTATCGATATCAAAATATATTTGATTATATTTGACACGTTACAGATCGATTGCAAACATCTCCTAGCTAGCTTGCTGCCTAGAGGCCTAGCCAGCCAGTTGAAACCATTTCAGGCTTAAACAAGCTGTCCGGGATGCTGCGATGATCCAGATCTAAGAATCGTGGATCAGCGCCAAATATCAAAGTACCAAACGGAGGTTTAAAAAGAACGCCCCTTTACTGTACCCATTTCTCCAATTGTGGTCATCTGCCCTTACTCAGCCCTATTCCTGCCAGGTCCCAACGATACCGACAAGGTGCTTGAGGGCTTTGCAAAGCTCATCGCTGATGGAGCCAGGGCCTTGTTGAACGGGTCCTGCAACTGGCATGGCAGTGGTTTGGACCACCTTCCTCTTAAGGTTTTCGGCCCGGTACAATAACATGTACTATGATCATGCGCAGTACCTATGTACCAAAAACATCAATCAACGAAACAGCAACAAAAAACATGGAAACAATACATGTCTTTTCAAAAAACTTGTACAATCCACCAGCCATGGATGCGGATATGGATGAACTTATGGACCTTCTGGCATACGAATGCCCCTACACTGGGAAGAAGCGAATTCCTGGGTGCTATGAGTCTGTGGATCAGCAGTCGTCTACAAAGTGCCTTGGTAGCTCCAAAATAAGACTAGGCAACCATGTTCAGTGAGCTTGCACTTTGCCCTTGGTAAAGGGGATGTCAAAAATATGTTTTTTTTTCACTCATCCATTCAACTTAGGAAGATCAAGATTGGATCCACTCCCGATAATTATGACAAAGTGGATTTGCAGACCTCACCGGATGGCTACGATGAAACTATGTTCAGTGAGTATTTCAACAGAGGTTTGTCAGGTGAGCCCTGTGAACCACCACCAGCTCACGTGAACTGTGCAAACTGTCCTGAGCACTTGCAGAGAACCATCAATGCAGCCACTTGGCTCATGGCAACGTATGCAAACATGAGGAAACAATGCTTTGGAATTTATATGAAGCTGCCAAAATGGTGTGAGATTGTTTTTTGTTCTCCCTAAAACTTTCTAGCCGGCCTCAGCCAAGGAGAATCGTGACAATCTCAGAAAGCTTGGCGACAACTTTGATGCCTCTACGTTTGATTGGAGTCTCACTCGGCCATTTGGCCTTTTGAACCATTGCATGCCGGAGCCACGAGCAGGTCCGCCCACGTGTGGGCGGATCTTGTCTTGGTGTAAAGAGCAGGTTTCATCATTCCGGGAACGCATGGGACTCAGAGTCTGCGTGTTCAAAGTGGGGGTGACATGCAACCCGGTGAAAAGATATCTTTCATACCTTGACCAGGGATTTTCTTGTATGTGGCTCATTGCCATGTCTGGATCCTTGGATCTAATTCACATGCTGGAAGCTGCCTTAGTCAGCGAGTTCAACAAGCATGTGGGATGCAGGAACAAAGAAGGTTCTGGGGGTGAAGGTGCTTTAAATAGAAAGGGGAAAGCACCACCTCCATATTTCTGTTATGTCACAGGGGGCCGCGCCGACCAATTTCGCAGGATTGGAGGGTAAAAAACAACAATGCTGAGTGACAACAGCTGTGCTTATATATGCATGTGTGTGTGAGTGCACAAGACTTGTTCTTGAGCTTGCTGCTCTTCAAAACAGTTCTATCCACAAAAATACTGTTGGAATGAGGGCATGGCTTTATTCATTTCAGTCTCAACCAGTCAATTCAATTTGCATTTTGCAGTGTCCCTGTTAACTTTGATCCTTCTTTTTCTGCCTTCTTGCACGCCTAGGCCTGTTGCAAGCATGTCGTGCAGATTGCCAAGCACGAGGTTGACAACAACCCTGCAAGTAGCCAAGCGATGCGAGAGTTTGCATGCATTAGAGAGGAGGATGCCGAGGTTGGTGTTCGAAAGGTTTTGGTGAAGTGGGGATTCTCTGCGCCAGTCCCCATTTCAAAATGTGATTTGGGTGAGACAAGAAATATGAAGAGTTTTCCATGGGTCAAGCCATCAAACTGGTTTGCGCATCTGTTGCGAATCGGAGCTTTGGCCCGCCAGATGGTGGGAGTTTCATCTTTGTCAAAGATGAAAGGAGTACTCACAGAATTTTGGAGAAGATACAAAACAATGGATGCGGGGCATCCAGTGTTCGAGCTGGAGAGGAACGGGGTTCTGTCGCTGGACCGGCTCGTGCCGTTTTACTCACATTCGGATGAGGGGCGGTCATTCCGGGATGCTGCCCTATGGGTGTTAAACATCCATGGGGTCATAGGTCGAGGAACACTGGCCTACCTTCGAGAAGGTCACCATCGAGATCCAGTTTCCCAAAACCCTCAAGGTCTTAACTACATTGGCAACACTTGGTCAACTCATTTTTTGATTGCCACCATGAGCAAGAGTGTTGCAACTCCAGAGGCTTTGTCAAACCTGGTGAGTTCTTTCGCGTTGGATGTCAAGGCATTGTTGCATGATGGACTCCAGCATGACCAGGAACGGATTTGGTTCATTCATCTGGGGTCGAAGGGGGACTTGCCGGCCCTTGCAAAGCTGGCGCGATTCACGCGCACATTTGCGCATACGCCAAGGGCTGCTTCCAGCCGAAAGGCATGTCAAGGTGTGTGTTGGAGATGCCTAGCAGGACAAGAACGGGACGACCGCAACCACCTTCGAGCAATTCCATTTGAAGATGTTAGCAAACAACCAGTTTGGGAAGCCACCATTGGACAGGTGTTGCCATGGCAGCAAACACCACCAATTTTGGAGGGGCTGGGTTTGGATGATAGAAGGGCGACGGACTTCTTCCAAAGCGATTTCTTCCACAATGTCCACTTAGGTGTGCTGAAGAGTTTCACATCCTCTGCACTGGTGAGTTTGGTTGAGGCAAACCCTCCGCTACCATGTTTCCAGAACCTGTCATCCGTGGACAAGAAATTTGAGCACCTTTCTTCTTTGTACAAGAATTTTTTTCAAGCTCGGGGAAAGAAGCCATGGGTTACAGAGTTGAGCAGGGATTTGGTATGCTGGCCAATGTCATCAACATGCCCAGCTGCCAAATGGAACAAGGGCATGGCAACAGTTGAGATCATGCGATTCATTGACTGGTTTGCTCAGAACTTCTTGGTTGGATCTACGGACCCTGTGATGAAGTCAATTGTCCTTGGGTTGCACCCTTTGGTTCTTTCACATGTCAGTTTTTTGTCTCCAAAGGTTTTTGTAGCGATGTTGTACCACTCTCTATGATTAACATGGCTTTTGAATCATTCACCCATCACTTGTTTGCTGCTCAGGCTGCTGCCGCAAAAGCTATCAACATTGCGGTGACGTTCATGTACAAAAGTGGCCTTTGGTTGCAGAGTACATCAGCCCGCAGACTGTCAGATTGGATTTTCTCCTTTTTGGGGCACTACTCTTTGTTGGCGCAGTTGACTTTGAATGCTGGCAAAGCTCGGTACCCCATGTACCCAAAGAACCACATGCTTTGTCATGCAGCTGTAGACTTGGCCCGTCGTGCAGAAAGATGTGAATGGCAGCTGTCACCTTTAAGCACAGCATGCCAGCAGGAGGAAGATTTCATTGGGAAGCCTTCCAAGATATCGCGTTTTACAAACATTCGCCAAGCACATAGAAGTGTAATTTGGAGATCCATGATAAAGATTCAGTATTCTCTGCAGCAAGCTGGCAATGACCAGCGAGGCATGGATTCTTATGCAGATCTGTGACTTTGACACAGTGTTTGAAATAACTTAATGGTTTTCATACCACTCAATGCCACTCAGCATTGCTTATGACATATCTTTCTGTTGTTTCTGTCAAGATCACTGCGAAATTGGTCGGCATGGAGCTCAGATCTAGCTTGAAAGGGGAAAGATGGGCAAGTGTCAGGGTGGGACCATGGATGTGGAGTTCTACCCTGAAAACCTCCAAAAAACAAAAGGCCGCACTTTGAACAAAAGGCCGTACTTTGATATGTGGATAATGGAAGAGGTCTGAAAGACAACCTTTTGATCGAAAGAGGCACATCCCGGGTTCAGGGTATACATTATGCACTTGACACACCAAGAGTTGCTTTCATGAAAACGCAGACTGCTTTCTGTGATTGTTTTGTTTTTTTTGTCAGGCAAGCTTTGCTTCCAGTCAGTTTTAAAACCTCGCTGGCCGCTTGTTCTGTTTGCATCTTTGGGCATGTGTAACAGAGACATACCAGCACACAAAAATTGTTGAACACTTGCCAATGGCCCCCTTACCACACAATCTACGGAACCTGCACTTCTGTCTTGTGGCAGGTAGAAGCCGGTCATCTGATTGCATTTTTGCCATTTGAAGACGCAAGTTGATGACTTGCGATGCGTCGACCACACCAGCACAGCAATCCCGCTGGGGCGCCACACTTCTAGCTCAATCTCTGGGTGATGTTTCTTTTTCTCCTCCCGGACTTGGCCGCGATACTTCTCCCAGCACTTCATGTACTTCCTTGGTGCAACGAGAAGCCTGTCGATCCCAATGAGGTTTGAAGTATTAGGACCCGAGTCCAGTCACCCTGTTCACAAAAACATCTAAAGACCAATATCTCGAGATCATTCAGGCCCCCCCTGAAGAATACTGAAGAGAAAGAGAGAGAGAGAGAGAGAGAGAGAGAACAACCAAAAACGACAAAAAAAAGCAGTCTCCCACTCTTCCAGCGGCACCGGATGGGTCGCATTCCAAGGGTCTTGTGAAGCTTCGAAGCTTCGGGTCCATCAGAGTGGGATGCTTTGTCTTGAACCCACCTCTGGCACAGCAAGCAGCGAAGCCAGCAGTCTCCTGGAGTCCCTCCGCTCGTGCTGCTGTCCACCTCGGCCGGAGCCCCTCCACCGCAGCAGTTGCGATCGACACGGGTGACCCTGTGTCGCACGGCACATGAGGGACGGTCAAACCTACCCCTCTTTACATAGTGGTCTTTGTATGTGTCGACCGTAGCTCACATGTATGTGTAAATCATTAACCAGAATGTATATGTGCGTATGCGTGAAATGTGAAAAACTAAATGTAGGACTGTAGGACTCAGCAATTCAATGTGAATGAAATAAACGAAAAGGAATAGCCTGTTTATATGTACTAGCTGTAACTTTTTAGTTTGACTCTCACTAGGAGTCGGACTGGGGTCCTTTCTTGCACATCAGGTCACGCGCAGCTCAGTAACTCTACGTAGCTGTCATATCCCATGACTTCTTTGATCCGGCGGAGGGGAAGTAGAACAACCGCGCTGGGAAGATTGCTACCCTAAGGATTCGCAGCCTCAAAAACCAGGGTTTTTGACGGGCGCCAAACCCTTGTGAACTAGAGGGTTCGACCCCTAAGGACGGTCCAAGGATCCTTCGGGTAAAACTAAAACCAAAGCCTTTTCCACTTCCTGAGTCGGAATGTGAACGGGCGCATGCCCGCAGCGAAGCCCGCAAAACATCACAAGCCATCACATCATCCGCTGGTAAATGCCATGGATTGAAAGAAGGACCTGGGATGACCCGGGGCAGGCCCTCTTGATGTGTAGTGTAGACCAATGTCCGTGAACTCACCTTTTCAACTTCCAACCTATCTTGGGAAGAACGTAACAGTTTGAATGACGTTGAAGGGCAAATTGATCCCGGGCAATGGAAGGATCTTTGGTCTCCAATGGGAAAATTCTGGGCACCTAATGTACCTATATATGAACGACAAAGACATTCCTGTCGTTTGGAGATACTTTGGTGTCCTGACACCAGGCGGGTCCAAACTATGGGACTGTGGTTTCACCGTGGGCCTCCAGGAAGGTCAATCTACTATCTGCTTTGGGAGGCTCGATCTTGCGTCACTGAAGCACACGACGCAACCCGGGCTGCCCTGCCAGCGTACGGGTATGGTATGACGAAATGCGGGTACATGCGGATACCATGATTCACCCACACTCACCCAGAGTTTCACCACGTTTCACTCACAAAGAAAACCAACCGAGCGGCCCACGCTAAATGCTCCTCCGGCGGGGTCTCAAAGAGCTTCCTCTTCATGGCTTTGTCTTGCTTGTTGGTTTGGTAGGTTGGGTGCTTGGTTGTTTGGTTGTTTGGTCGACTGGTTGGCTGGTTGGGTGGCTAGCTGGTTGGTTTGTTGGTTGGTTGGTTAGTTGGTTCAGTGGTTGTTTGGTTGACTGGTTGGTTAGCTGGTTGACTGGCTGGCTGGCCGGTTGGTTGCAGTGCTGAGGGCGGGGCTTTGAGCTACAAGTTACATGAGTCGCAAGCAAGGTTTTGCCGAGCCCGCTTTCATAACTATAAACAGGATTCGCAAAGCTGTTCTCAGTGTTTTTGTTTCTGATGTTGTCAGTTTCCATGACAAGTACATTAGTAGCATGGTTGCCACCTATCAGTTATGCAAAGCGTGCAACACGTAAAGAAGCTGCAATTGCTCCAGCAACATGATCCAATTTGATCCAATATGATCCATCAAAATCATTGAATATATCTCATTTAATATTTCTCACTCCAGCCAAACATCCATCAACCTCCGAAATGGATAGCTTGCAGAAGGTCATGGACTCGCCATCCATCCAAGGGGCTTGGGACGGGCCTCTCCGGTGTGCATGAACCATTGAACGTTAACCATTGTTCAGTACAAGGTAGGTAGTTGGACACGAAGCTCCGAAGAACCTGGTCGAATTGTTCAGTACAACACATGTCCTGTCATGTGTTATACTTGAGCCCCTCACTTGCTAAAGCAAGGACAACTCCAGCTAGCTGGTGCTAGCTTTCGTGATTAAGATTCCCTGTGAAAAATCTCTAAGGTTGGGGGCACAAACAATACCAGCCGAGGAAATATGCATCGCACACGGTTTGAACACGTTCAAAAAGAAGTGATGCAAACGAGGCACAGCTTGTGACCGGTTGAAAGGAACGTCGCTTTTGAACTTTGTGCATGTAAATGGCATCTTGCTTTCTAAAGATGCGTTGGATGCCAATATTTCTCGAAACATGCTTCTCATACAACATGGTGATTTCCACTCTTGGCCCCTCCTCTCACCAGAGATTGACAGAGTACCCTGCAAGTGCGAAGTGCAAGTTAAACGAGGTCATTGACTTGGAGGAGATTGACCAAAAACTGCAGGTGGCTTCTGCAAAGTCCATGGGTCGTGGCTCTGCCCTCCGTCCTCGAAAAACGCCCGCAAACGAGCGGGTCGGTTCCTGCCGGGTCGGCTGCAGGCCCCCGGTCTGCTCCGAAACGGCATGCGTGTTGTGATCAACCTCTGTTCCTAATTCAGCTTTCAACCACCAAACAAAGACATTCTTCTTTAAGGCTCTTGGAGCATTTGCCCACCTAGCTGCCACCTCTGGCATCCTCAGTCTCTGGCTCCTCTTGTGTTTCTTTTTCTTGCTGGCTCGCATGGTGAAACACGTGGCTGCAGGTCAAAGGTTAGGTACTCTGAACACCCCAAAATAGATTGGTTGCTCACCTGGTTCACCTGGTTCCCAACGGTTCCCAATTAGCTTAGGTACTAGATTCTTCACCTGCTGGCTCATCTGAGCGTCCCGGTCCCATGACCCACTGCCGTGAAACTCGGTCGACTAAGCCGGAAGCGGCACCGCTGCCCGTATGGCGCCTGTATGGCTCCTGAAAGCCATCAGGTGGAGCGAGGCCGATGCTGCAAAGCATCGCAAAGTACAGAACAAGTTGGATCCAGGGTTTCCGATGAACCTCTCATTTTTCTAATGGTGCAGCCTTAAATATGTTCTTGGTTGAACTATCTTTTCGTTCCGTCTACTTTCGATTCACTGCCAGGCTTCCGGGTGACACAGAACGCCCAAACACTGGATACTCAGGCGGGCGTTACGCGGGCGTTTGTTTGCGTTAGTACTTGAGTGCCAGGAAGGCGGCGACACCGGCTTTGATCCACTTGTCCACGACCTTGTCGGTCGTCACCTGGTCAGAAAGGTCGTCACCTATTCGGCTGCGCAATCTGCGCGAACGTGCCGGCACGCTCTGATGCTAGTCTGTGTAGGTTCTTGGAGCGCAGAAAGCTGTGAGTGCTCAGTCAACGGTCAACGTCTTGTTGAGGGTGTCCTTCATGGAACTGTGTAATTTTATCACTTCACCACTCCGGTTTGTCGCATTTTTTCTGCGTTCGCGTCGATCCCCAGCGTCTTCACGAGCTCGCGAAGCGCGAAACACGCCTCAATGTAGAGCACAAAGTTGGTTGAGTGACCCGTGGTGAGGAGGGTGCCCTTTCCTGGGAACGCGAGCGCAAACGAGCATCTCGGGTGGTGCGGCAGGGGTGGAGAGTTCAAACGGAAGGGGCCCTGCCCTGCCGTTTGAGTTCTACAGTACATAAAAAGCCACCACAAACATGCACTGGTTCATGATTGTCTTAACGCTCACTTCAGTTTCTTTACACAAAAACAAGTTCGGAAAAAGCGTCGTTCCTTGAAAAAAATATCGATGGGAGCGAAAAAGCAAAGAACGTAGCTCCAAACCAGCCCCAGTTGGTTAAGCGTCCAGATGACCCCTCCGAACAGACTTTGGTTTGCAATTATCTCAACGTGGGCATCCTCCAAGCGTTTCCTTATGTTTCCTTGGTGGTGCACGAGACTCCCAAGCAAAAACATGTGCACGTGGTGCTGGTCTTCTTCTCCCAGGCTGGTGATTTGTGTGAAGATCCTGACGTCTTGGACCAAGGCTCGTGACACCACTTTGTAGCAAGGACCTGGGTCCCGGGCGCTTCCGGCGGCTGCTCGCGGCGGCGGAAGACGCGGCGAGCTGGACATGAAGCGATGTACCCATTGATCGACCAGTTCACACTTGCCCTGAGTGACCTATGCCAAGAGGATCCCAGCTAATTGGCACTCCACCCCCAGATTTTGTTCAGATTGAGTGTGGCCACTTCGGCGGCGCTCGTGTCGGATTCTGAAAACCATGTAATCCCGACCCCTTGGTTAAATCGAGGACGCGACCACAGATGCTGCTATTCCATGTAATGCCCAAACGCTCCATGTATGTCATATTTACCTACATTGGGGTGGTCAATGCAGGCATACATGGCATAATACATGGAATGTCTGAGATGTATACTGCCGACTATACTGCCGGGACCTGCTGTCCCTTTCTGACACTTAGTCCAATCCGAATTTCTCCGCCGAATTGGTGACCTCTCCCGTTCACGGGAGATGGGTGACCATGTCAAGCCGACGGTCACGTAAGCCGACGGTCAAGGGACAGCGATAGTCCGTGGCGTTGGGCACCCGATTCCTGATGGGTAAGAACTGCAAAGGTGGCATATCGGTAAAGAGCTCCTTCGGCCTGGAGTCCTTCGCGAGTTGAACAGGTGCAGTGGCGTCAGGAGAAAAGCAAGGAACAGGTGTGGCCCTTCTGGTGCGGCTGAGGTGCTTGGTTGCTGTGCTGGCTGCGTTTGGACTCCCAAACACAACGACGAGTCGGGAAAAACCGGGCGCACGGGAACTCCAGGGATCACCCCCCCCCATTCTTCGGAGAGAACCTCCACATCACTGGGAGCAGGTGAAGGTTTTTGTGGCCGAAACCAAGAATCCTCACTCCCCAACGTCACCCTATTGTTGCAACTCACAAAAGAGTCTCGCCACGCCTTGAAAGTATAGGTAGAAAGGGCCTTGGTGACAAGAAGGGACATCCATGGACCTTGTCAGGGCGAGTCAATGGAACCTCCCCATCACCTCCTGAGAAAAGCTTGTTTTCAAAGAACCCCCACAGAGGCCTTAGGCATCCACTGGCACCCTCTGAGGTACGGTGAGGAAGGAGACACTGTAGTTTTGGAGGGTCCAGCTGTATTTGTCTGAGCAGGTACGACTGGATCCCTAGGGAATCTATCCCTAGGGCAACCTCCTGCATGGCTCTCTGCACGCCGATCCGAGCTGGCAGACCCGGGAAACACCCCTCGACTCTTGTTGAGCGAAACATACCCCGTCCTCCAGTTGATGCGTGGTGCAGTCAAAGCGGGCGCCTTCCAAGAAAATGCCATAGACGTAGACCCCGTCATCGGGAGGGGACGTCAGCTGTGCTGGTGCATCCGTGATCTGGTCCATGGTCCTGAGGGCGGATGAGGGCGAAGAGGGAAGTGGATGTTCCACACCAAGTGCCCTGTTCCCAACACAAAGCCAAAGGCTGGCTGCGATGTCAGCCGGCCTTTGTCCCAAGAAACCTCCCCACTTAGATGACAAAACCATGCTTTCGTGGTTACTCGTACCACGTTGATATGCTGCAAAATAATTAGTGAACAGGGCATGAGAAAGTACCCTCCAGCTGCGCTGCGAGGGGACCCAGTCACTCGATCGCCCGTTCGCTCCTTTGGCTGAAGGAGAGCAGGTCGATCTCCTCACCATACTTCCTGCCCATGGAACTTCGTCGGGCTCGAGAGGAGGGGGACCAATGGTTGACAAAGGGTCCAAATTACCAAACTATGGTCAAGCTACCAGGGTCCAAAAGGAGAAGACCATAGTGGGGCATCTATAAGGTTCAACACGTTTCAACTCTGTATCAAATATGCAAAGACTTGAACATCCAAGTGGACCACAGCCCCTTAATATTAACCTTTTGCTTCAAAGATCGTCTGATTGTTCTGATTCATGTTGTTGAACCATGACCTTTGCGAACATGCCAAAAACATGCGGGCAACCTTCTGGGAGGGGACTGCCGGCGCCCAGCAGAAGATCTGGCTGGGTGGCCCCATAGTGTGCCAAGTGCGGCTTCCTCCCTAGCTCCCCCACGAACCAGATTTCCGGAAGGTACCAAACAATAAACTGCCAGGAAATTGGAGCACCCAACTTCATTGATAGCTTCAAAGACACTGCTGGTGGCCACTTCCTTAGGAATTGCCTGAACTGCTGCCAATGTGTCAGGGACGGCTCGGTGTATACCCATGGGCAGTTGTGAGGAAATGTCCTTCCTGGTTGATGAGAAAGTCGGCTAAAACATGATCAATCTCTCTAATTACTCTGAAAAGCCCCGGGACTTGGCGGACTGGATGCGTGACAGTCAGCACCCTCTGCAGTCGTACCGAACTTGAGGAGGTACGACTGGATCCCTGCAGGGACGTGTTTTTGTTGTTTTTTCCTCTTCAGGTTTGACAGCCTTCAGCCAGCCAAAGGCACAAAGAAAAAAAGAAACCTCTGCGACCTCTGCACTACGTATGCTATCGGCTGCTATCGGTTGTGGTCAATGTATGGCATACGACACCAGGGTAAGTTGACTGGAAAGTTGTTGAGGTGTTGTTTTGATGGGCCCTCACAGAACTGGCGTCATCAGGCAATCATCCCAAATACCTTGGGCCCTGGGTCGCTGCGTACCGCGAAACCGCGCGCTTCGCCCAAGCAGAGAGATGTCTAACTTGAAGCGAGGATCCGTGCGAAGTTCTGCATTGCTCCAGTGAAGAAGGCCTGGGGAAAGAAGATGCCACCTCGGCTTGCTTGGGTCGAATCAACCTGATACGGTACATCGATCGTCCTGAACCTTTTGTGAGTGGAATCTGGAAAATCTCTACTCCAAAAATCTCCAAAACTTAAAGATCTTAAAGGGCAGCTAGGTGTCCCCTCCATGGACAGCCCAAACTCTTTGAAACTGGCCCGTTTTGACACTCATTCGGCAAACTCTGTGAGCTTCATCATGGGGGAGTATTGCATCATCAGGGGGAAGTATCACATCAAAGCCCTGAAACCCAATCAGGATACCTTAGGTAGCCACAGAACGGGTTGGCCGCAACGGTTGGCCAGCTGAATCACCCACTGATCCCCTGGAAAATTGACGAACATTTGCATGCACAAGTGACACCAAAGGAATTTGGAGGCTTGTGAACTGTGAACGTCTGGGTGTGTGGAACAGACTTACTGTATAATATATATAATATATCTATACAATGGGTTCTATAATTATATATAACATCATATATCATATATAACTCTGAAGTTACTTGGGAGCCTGCGGGCGGCATCCGGCTGGACTTCCTACCAGCAGCATGCTGAATACCCTGAAGGCAAATGTATTGGACAATCTGCGCTTGCTTGTGACAAGCACTAGTGACTATTGTGTGGGTGTTGCAAACAGTTTCCCCAGCCACTCGGCATACTTTGGCATATTTTGCTTAGCCTCATGGTGGAGAAGTGAGGCCAAAACAGCAACAAGTCATTCTTTGTCAAACACAAGTAGGTTTGGTCTAGTGCCCTTTGGCAGCGCCTATCAAGCCTTCAGCCCTGCATGTGCCCGATGTGTAGCAGCGTAGCAAAAGAAGGACATAGAACACGACCCATCGACACAAACAACAGCAGCGGCGACAGCACCTGCTGAACGGTTAGCAACCACCACCCAACCAAGCAACACATCAGCCAACCAACCAGCAGTCAATGTAGCCCACCTTCCCCACCTCCCAAAGTCTCAAGCTTGACCAGGCCACTGACCCAAAAGCATGGAGGCGCATGGCCCAAGTCAAACCACATCTGGAAGAACCTGCAGGTTTCATCCACAGGATTGAGCGGACCAAGTGTCTTTCACACAACGTGTCGGTCAAAATTCATCGTGTGTAGATGTGTGTAGCTGATGAATGCACGGCTTAGTTCCGCATCTGAAGAGGCAAGCATACAAAATATATCAACACATCCTATATCATCTCCGCTGCTCAGAAAAGGGGTGTTTGATTTGTTCACATCGTGTCACATAATTTCGGAAGCATGCTGGCAGCCCCCAAACAACGTTTTGTCTTGTTCAGAAGTAGCACAGATCGATATTGCTTATATTTAAAGAACTGCTGGCGCAATCCAGCGAAACTATTGCCACCTCTTTGGGTGCTTTGCCGAAACATGTATTGACCCCAAAATAAATAGAAAAGTAGTAGATCCCCACTAAACATGTATTGGAAACCGTCTCTATCTATGTGGGGACCGGGATCACTATACCAAACAAATGACTCTGAGCAAGTGCTGAGATCAGCTGAGTGCTCAGTCATCTTCTTCCACCCCGAGGGCAGCCCTCCGATCATCCCAAAGAGCACCTCACGCGAGCAAGGATGTCCAAATACCAACTACTCAGCGGCTTCAAGGACAGCGGTCCCTTCTTCGACCACCTGGGCAAGCGCTTTGTGGGAGTGGCTGTCTCTAAAGAGGACCTGCCCGGTCCCTCACGCCCACGAACATCATGAACGGAATTCCAGCGGTGTCTTCAGCGCATCGTGGGTATGATGTCCAAAGCAGAACCGGCAACGTCTATTGATCCCCCATGGCAACTTCTGACTTCCCGCCCTCCACACAACTCCAAGGCCTCCAGCCGAAAGAAACCCCCTCCCCCTGGCAGATAGCATCACCATGTGAATGGCGGATAGCATCCGCAACCTGCGTGAGTCGGGCGAGGCACATCTCCGGGACTTCGTTGACGAAGAGCGATTTTCCAGCTGCCTCCAGCTCTGCAGTCATCACGATGAGACCTCTCTGCAAGCGAACAGAACTGGTATGCCCTGGAAGAGGCCCACATGGAACCTGAAAACTGGTTTGTGAAGCCAGCTAGTCTTCCAAACTTCCAAAGGTCCATTTTCAGGTTCCAGGACGATTCATGTGGGCCACTTTCTGGGTTTGCTTTTGGATGGGGGAGATGGTAGTGGATGATTTCGGCGATGCGTTGGCAGGGCGGTCTGCGCCGGTGGAGTCCGAACCGGTGGGCCTGATGCTCTGAGCAAAGAGTTGTTGTGTGTCATCTACATTCCCCACACAATCCTGCCAAAAACGATGCGTAATTAGGCATGAAAATGCATAACTATAATTGTACTGGCATGTACTGGCAGTATATATGCATAAGAAGTCATCTGCAAGAGGGCCAGAGCTGAAACCTCGGAGGATTCCGGGCCTTTGATGGCCTTCCTGAAGTCTTTCAACGAGCTGGCCATGGACCACAGGAGCTTGTTGTAGCGCAAGCACTCTTGTTTCACCACCGTGTTCATCGATTCCTCGTACCTCTTCAGAGGCTGGCTGTGGTCGGTTTGAGGAACTTCTGACTGGTGTAAGGCTGAGATGGCAGTCGATTTGGATTTCAACACAACCGGATTAACCAGATTTCGGATCCTGATCTTGTCACTGTCAAGTCCAGGTGATAAGGAACAAACATCTGACAGTAGACCCAATCTGCGACATCGTTGTCTAACCAATGTACATCTTCCAAACTGATCTAAAGCAAACAATGTTTGCTCCACTCCCTGCAGGACAAAATCAAGGCTTCGAAAGACTGGAGACTTCAACGTCTTGACTTCCACTGCCCATACTACCTGCCTGGTGGGGAACTTGGTTTCGCACACGTCCAAGGGGAAGGGCGTTGGCAAGCGCTCCTGGCAAAAAGCGATCTCAAAGCACACTTCCTGGAATAATCATGGAAGTGGAACATGGCCCCTTGAATGACCATTGTCCTCTAGCAACAGGTCGTTTTCCACTTGCATGATTAGGGGACAACCGGGAATCACCACCGGGACAATCACCGCCTGCTAGAAACTGGTGATCACAAGGCTAAGGAAATTCTTGCCAGTTACAACAGCCCGCTGAAAACACGTGAGTGGACAACCAACTGGACATTGTTTGGTGAGATTCATGGGAACGGCCTTCGGAACGGCCAAAATGAGACACCTGGCACCCCACACAGCGACCCTGAGACCCCAATGGACGTGGATTCTCGTTCTTCTTCCAACCGGTTCGGCTGTGTCGGTTCAATCCGCAAGACTGGAACACGATGTCGCTGTGTTACCGTGAAAACCGCGATGCTTCTATCGCCCAACCCTGAGATATTCAACGGCAACAACATTGTAACAAGTAAAAACATGTATATGAAAACATACACATGCCAGGAGCAATATAAATAGAACTCGACTCCAAATACAAAATGATGACCCATGCTCATCCATTGTCCCCTTCGCACACCCAACCCATGCGATCTCCAATCCAAGAGTTTTTACCGAGTCTCTTGGATGGATGCAGCAGTGTCATCCATGACCTGAGATAGTCAAGAGGTTGCAACTGGGAGATCAGTCACTAAAATCAAGGTTGGCACATTATACCTCCACATGAATACCCATCCTGAGTCCGTGAATATCCTGGTCTTGTTCCATCAAGCTGAACATAACATGTCTGAGGGTGGCTGAAATTAAATTTTGAGGCAGTCTCAAACACCTGGAGCTTCGCTGAGAATGGGCCTTCATGAACGAAATTGCTGGCTCCATGTCTGAAGACAGCAAAGACCGAACTCTCTGCTGTCAGGGCCACTCTGGTCGAACGAGTGACCTATGAGACGAACGTAGGTGACCCATATGAGACACAATTCAACGTCTAGCACAGCCCCCTATCTCTGTGTCTCACGACTGCTTGCTTGAGCATCGGAAGCAACCAACCTAGCCCCTCAAAATGAGAGGGAGTGCTCTGGCACATGTGGCGACCCAAGCAAAGCATCCATCCTCCCATCCAGTGCGGAGGGGCCGTGTCGGCAGAACCACCCTCTCCACCGCCAGCATTCAACGAGACCTAGCAGCTGCGGGGAAGCGCATTTGGAACATGCAACGCATTTGCCAGGCCTCAAAGGGTAAAACAAGCTCCACCAATGGCGATGCACTTGGGCCCCAAAGGGGGCCGCATTTGGGCCCCGGTAGGAGAGTTCTGGGGTTCGGTCTTTGGAGGTGACCCATACTCCAGTTTTTATAGGTGTTCAAGCACACAGCACACAGCCCTGCCATGCTCTCCGAGCTGCCATGCTCTGCATGCCCGTGAGGAGCTTCAAGGCTTCATCCTGGGCACAGGTGATGTTGCAGTTCTCGTGCAAGCCGAAGGCCTCTGGCATGGGGTAGAGCGGCAAGCCTGGATGCGGAGTGGTCACGCCGTTACGCGGCAGGACGTGACGTGGGACGGGACGGCACAGCTCAGCTGTCCTGTGTCGGTGGCTGCCCTGGTTCCATGTCACAAAGAATGGTCCAACACTAGTGACTAAAATTCACCTGGATGTTGAACTTGGCTGTCCTGATACAATGTAATGTACGTCAACTTGTGTCCACTTGTTCCAATCCAGGAACAAGGTTCACATAAGGCCCACGGCTTCTCATTGGGTAAGCATGCTACCCTTAAAGTCATCAGCAAACTCTGCTCTTTCCTGCCTTTGATGTAGGTGATGAATTCCTCAATCGTCTCTGCACCAGGAGCATAGTACAATCCGCTGGTGGAGTACTTGTAGCCTTCCTTCTCCTCCACGGACTCTGGACAAATGTAGGTTTGCCTCAGATCTTCTCGGAAGCGCTGGCGCATTTGGAATCCGAGAGTGTCATGTGGGGTTCGCCAATCTAGAAGGCCTTGCACCAATGGATTCAGGAGCACGTCCTGGTGTTTTGCCATGAAGCCTGTAACTGGTGAGAATTGTTTCAGCCACATGACATGTCAACCTTCCAAATGATGCCAATCCTCAGCTCGACCAACCCCCCAAAACAATCTAGTAAAAACAGTCGGAATTCTCTGGCCCTCGCATGGGTTTGCAGCCAGCATGCAGAATCGTGGAGATCAAGAGCTTATCTTTGTCGTCTGTCACGCGCCCTCCATAGTTGATCTTCGCCCCCAGGAAGTTCAGCACCTGCAACGCGCGGAGTTCCCTCCCCTCCCCCCAACATCCCAATGCATGACGTGTCCGTTCGGATCCTCCGCCGACGTCGCCAGAGACGCCTTGTAGGGAACTTGATCATACTGGTTCACGAAGAGCATGAGCTGCTGTCTGCAAACGAGCAAATCCTCTGGTGTGAAGCCGTACGCCTGGTGTGGGAAGCAAGAACGGTGCAACCGTGGAAACGTGGCTGGCACGAAGAGCATGCAGCTGACGACGGTTTGCCCTTCTGAAGGGAGAACTTCTGTAAAACCACCTCAACCGGACCATGTCCCACTATTTGCAAGAGTGAGGTTGGAGGATATGTGGGATATGACACTGGATCGTAAACTGAACATGCTTGTCCCCGTTTGCCAATTAAGGGCCAACCCTGGGCCAACCCCTGAGTCCCTAGCAAATGTGTAGAGCATGATTCTGAGTGCGATGATTGGTTTTCCTCGATGTTCCAGCCCGCCAGAAATGACAGGCTATCTGGCTAACCTCTTCACCCTTATATGTGTCTTTTATGGCACTGTGGCGACCTAGACATGCCAGCTTATATTGGTGGCGTGTGAAATACATCGAAAGAGCTGGTCTACACTGAATACTCAAACGGGACATTGAATACTCAAATAAGCGCGCCTGAAGAAAAAAAATGAGTCCACAAAAATACTTCGTTTCCTTGACCATCCACCTGGTGAATCCCCTTTGAACACTGGTGTTTCTTTGTTCTCCCCAAGCCTTCTGGCCACCGATTCCGTCTCCACACCCCAAAGATCCCCAAAGCCGAGGGGCGATGTTCCAGCCAATGGGTCCGAACTTCCGCCGGTCCTGGACCACCGCATGGAAGAAGCAGAAGCCGAAGAGCAGGACCTTGAAAATCTCCTGAGAGCGCCACGCCACGGGCACAACTGAAGATATTGCAATTTGGTGAATTTCGTGCGCACAAAAGGAGGAATCGTGTTTTTGCAATCCTGACGGTTTCTTCAAGTTAAACGATTCTTTTGGATCAAATAGGTTTCGGCTGAAACGGAATCAGTTCCACCTCATTTGGGACCCACCACTTCATCTGAAAATGCCTGACAAAATGGGTGCATGCGCTGACCAAATGTCACTGTGCTTCCAAGGCAGCGGAGGTAAGAACACTACCAAGCGCACAGGGCACAAGTCCCCCCAAACTACAGTGGTGGCGCGGTTTTCGAGATAACTTGGACCCTCTAAACCCACCCCAGTCCCACCTTCTAAGAAGGTCCTTGGAGGAATTTGGTCTGTTCTAGGCGAAATGCCCAGCCCACGATCACTGGTTCAGTATGATATGCCCTCCATCCAATAATCATGAAGGTGGACACCACCTATTCCAAGAGTCCAAGAGAAACAAAAAGTAGCGACCATGTTCAACAAACCATATTATGTGTTTTGATGTGTTTTGTGTTTTTTCATTCCCGCCCACAAACAAAACAGAGCTTAAACCAGGATATCGGACACTACGCTACAAGGGCTTCTGGAGCTCACCCTCTTTCACTTCCAACCTCTATAGACATCATGACCAGGTGCCACAACACACTGATAGACTCTTTTGAGTCTTCTACATTCTACATCATCTTAGTTGACTATAGTCACAAGGGCATAGCCGCTAATTACTAACTACTCGGAATCCAGGGCATGACTAGTAGCAAGGACGCTTCTACAGTAGTATAGCCGTATAGCCCCATCAACCCCAAAACGCAGCGCGCACGCGCACGCGCGCCCCCGGCGCTCGCCGTCGCTGAAGGCCCACCGAGCGTCAGGCTTGTTGGACTCCTTGAAGACCTCGTCGCTCAGGGCGGAGTAACTGCGGAGCAGGTTCGCCTCAGTGTGCTGCGTTAGGTTGGCGCGCGAGCGCCCACGTGGGGCGGTCGGCGAGCCAGGTGCTGATTAAAGGACGTGGAAGATGCTTGGAAGCAACCGAGGTTCGGATGGCCAGGTGTACTTAGTTCTCAGGGATGTGTAGTTCTCATCACTGAAAGGTTTCTGAAAACCCCTCAAATTGTCATGTTCGCTGCGAGGCATCCTACCGACCAAGGATGTCATCCGTAGCTTGCCTGGTGTGACTTAGGATCTATCCTGCATCCTCGAGGCATATTGACCCCGAGGATAGGGTGATTTGCTTGCTGGGCTTTTCCAATAACCACCCGTTCGTGGCCCTTTTCGGCCCTATTTTCCCGTAGGTTCCGGACATGGACCGGAAGGACGAGCGTGCATCAAGAGGTGTCGTTGGTGAATTGCTGCCTTCTTCCGAAGTAGCCCGATCGACCCTTCCACCCTTCTCGCGGACCAGGAGGCCCGCAGGCCACTGGGCGGCTCATTGGTCATCTTCACTCCGTTCTGCAGGACCTGCACTGGGAAGCTCTTTGCCGGCATGGAGGTGAGCCAAAGCCGAAAGCCTCGGAAGATTTGGAGGATGGGCCGCGACCGGTTGATGGTTCTGAGGAGGGAGTGGGAAAACACACCAACAAAATCGCCGGACCGACCAGGTTGGCGTCCAAGGGGCTGGTCTGCATGTTGTCTGGGTTGAATTGCTCCACGATGGCCTCTAGGGTCGGCATCCAGCTCTCCATCAAGTGGCAGTTGGAGAGCAAGACCCATCCGCCACCACCTGGAGGGGCGGATAGAAAAAGGGTCTGCGTCAATACGACTACAGGTTTACACCAGCAATCACAAGACGGGGTGCCTATTGGAGGTTAGGGGTGCCCAGAACACCTTGTTCTTGGTTTCCCTTTCAACCAGTCTGGGCCAAATGGCTCAACTCAAATGAATGTCTTAAAATGGGCGGGTGGCGGCGGGTAGTGTATCGTGTGGCTGTAAGGCAGGCTGCTGTGGATCCAAAACATCGTGCAAGCGTAAATCCAAAGGGGGCCCAGGCCCCTTCTAGAGTCAATGAGTTGAGTCCCTGTTATGATAACATTCAAAGGAAAAGACAAACGCCTCCGCGGCCCCTTGGCTGTCAAAAACATCCAAAAACATGTTGAGGTTGTTGCGCTTTTGATGGGAAAGGACTTGAGACCCAACAATCAACAAGTCTGTGTCTGCGTCCAACAACCAAGCAATTAACCTGAGGCTTTGCCGGGTGCAAGTGACGAAGGGTCTCCTTCAAGGATCACCTGATATGGAATGTGAACTGCTTCTTCAACGCATTCATCAGCCAAGGACATCCAAGTGAAAGGTGCCACGCACATTGACGTCCACGGGCTCTTGTGTCTCGTCTTCTGCTTGCGTATCTGGACTAACTGATTTGCCCAGTACTTTGACCAAGAGTTTTGCTTCTCCACATGCTTCAAGGAATCGATGCCCACCCTTCTACGAGGGGGGGACAACATGGACATGTTTTTGCGAGGTCTCTGGTGTTGCCCAGTCAGCCTTGAGCCGTCTCGATGAGCTTCATCGCCTATGACGGGACAAACTCGTGTGCAGCTTCCAAACTGAACACACACTTGAGAAGTAGCCTCACCAACATCCATCAAATGAGTGTTGAGTCTCTTGAGATTCCAGTCTCAACGTCTTCTTCAACCCAGTCCAACGCGTTTGAGTCCAGGCCTTGGGGCCTTGGCCTTGGCCCAAGGAAATGGACTCGAAGCGCTTCAACATGCCCAACTTGTCCGCGAAAGCAATCACCTCCCCAGCGAGATGTATGAGACATGGTGGAGGTGAACGGATGAACGGAGGATGAAAAGGAGAACATCAACAACAAAAACACTGGTGTTCACCCCATACTATGGGTTTCCTGCAGTAAGGTTTTCCCTTGAACCAATTCTGAGATGTATGGAATCCGCGAAAAAAGGATTCAAAACGGAAGGAACATGAATCAAACCACCAGCTTCTTTCAAGCGACCTTTTTGGAGTCCCAAAAAGTGACCTATTACAGGCCTAAGTGACCCCAAACCAGGGGATCAAAAGGTCACTTAGAAGAACCAGGCACCTAGAATCTCACGGACCACTATTTTGAACTGCCGAAAGCCTCCGGCCGATCATGGCCTTTACATGCCGTGCCTTTACATGCCTCTCAACTTAAGGGTCTGTCCGTGAAAAGTAAGGTGAAGGCACCTTAAAATTGCAAAGAACATGGCAACCTCACCCAAGGAACCCAGTAGATTGTAGATGATGATTGTGGATGATTGTCTTGTTGCCAGCTCATGTGTTCATCGCTCCACTCCCATCCACTCAAAACAAATAGCCCAAGTGACATCTGAGACAGGATCCGTGCCCGGCGACAGGATGAAAATCAACGGAGTGGTGTTCACCTTGGAGCGCAGGGATGCACAGCAAAGAAGGGACGAAGCGCTTCAAGCGGGACTCACACGACACGGGAACCAGCTACCGATCACGGGTAGTCTTTAAGAGTTTACCAAAAATTCAAGTTCTGAAGACGGAACTGGGTTTCCTTGCGATGTTTGAGGGCTATACGTAGTATACATGTACTTCATTAGGGACCTTTTTCTATGTCCACCCATGACCACCGTCACCCCGAGTCAGCACCGCTCCCGCCGTGGAGAGGTTGGAATGTCCAAGGCCGGCCTAGGCCGAAGGTCAGGTCATGAGGACGTGAAAACAAGTTGGACAATTCCATCGTTCTGCCTGAAAACCATCGTTCTGCCTGAAAACCTCTCTGAAACATTCATCCACTTTTATTGATGCTCTTCCAACTTGGCCTTTCCATGTGACTCTCTGGCTGCAGGAAAGATCTTGCCAACAAAAACCTTCAGCCATGCCGAAAACCTTCAGCCCAATTACAACGCCCGCCGAGAAACCGAGTCTGCGAAGGACTTGCTGATGTCAAAGGTGGGGGGCTCCACGAACTTGGTTCCGATCCTTGTTGGGACACAGTCGGACGCAGCAAGGACGCTGTGGACTGTGGACGCCTTTTTTTCTCTCACACAGGCACACAAATTGGGGAGGTCATTCGAATGGGGGGGAGGGCATGCACACATCACCATACAGAACTGACATACAATTTGGGATGTACGGAGGCGCCCTCGAATTCCGCTTTTGAAGATTTGATGACATGTCACGTCGAACCAAATGGGTAGAGAGTTTGAGAGTGTCGTCGGTGGAAATATCATGAAATATCAACATATAATAAGATGTGATCATAAATCTCAGCCACATCCGTATACGGGTGCGTAATGTAACACGGAGACCCGTTTTTTCCCATGTCCCTTTCTTCTAAGGGGTTCAACTGGAGGTCTCCCTATTTTAAAGGACCCCCAATACCTCTAAACACTTCCCAGAATCTGGTTGGAGATGAACGAAATCACCGCAGCCTTCAAGCAGTCGATTCCTGAGTCCAGCGGCGGTATCGGTATAGGGATGTAATTGACTTCTACTTGCACCCAGAAGTGCGAAAAGGCCATGATTTTCATCCCAACAGCCTTGTGACACCAGTCCGAATGGTTGGCACTTGGGGATTATATAAAAACATCATAGCCCCCCGTTCCAAATCCAACCAGCGATTCGGCCGGTTGGCTCTCTGAACAAGAGCCAAACATGCACCTCTGGCTGTGCGAGCTGTCTTTGTCCTGCATCTGGCACAGTGTTCATTACTTGGTCCCTCCTCTAGAAACATCACATTAAACATGGATACATGGATGGGACTCTGGACGGCTTTGGTCAGCCGATTCCTACATGGCTCCAATGCCACAAACACATGGACTCGGACTCTTGAGAGTCGCCATGATGTTCTTCCTTCTCATCTTCTCATGATGTTTACAGCATCTCCGCTCCATCCAAAATAAACATCTCCCCGTATCATCCCATGGTGCGCACCTCAGCACCCCCCGTTCTCCGGCTCGCCATGGTGCGCATGGCTCGGATGAAGCAAATCTTCTGCAGTGGTGACAGCTTCCTAGGCTCGCGCCATGGACAAAAATGCCTCGATCATGCCATGCAGGTAGAATGCATCGCACGCGGGCCCATGACGTGCGAGGCGATTGAAGACAATTTGGGGAACACGTGTGGCGGTTGCGCAAGCCGAAAACGAGTGGGTCTATCAAATTGAAACTATCCTAAACTCCTCCTGCACCTGAACTCCCGCATGCTGTAACTTGCCCTTCTTACAAGCCAAATGAATTCCCAAAAGTGGATGATGCAATATTGGTCCCACAGTGATGGCGGATCTGGTTCTTAGCCCAGCTTCTCCTCCCAGGCCGCAGGCAAGGGCTCTTTGTCTGCCTCGACCGAGTCATAGATGGGCTTAAACTCGTCCACGTGCGTGGCAAAGTAGTCCTGAGTCGCACATTGAAGATCATGGAAGTCCCTCTACAAGCACTCAAACATTTGCGTACAATATCATATAGATGGACACAAGATTGCATATTGAACCACCATCTCCCTACTTCAGGGTTACTATGCTACTATATAACCATATGTACTGGATCATTTCCAAACCCTTCATCCACGTGTTTCTCAATTCACTTTAAAACCTGTTTGGTCTATAGCCAGAACGTTCCTTCTTCTCACCAAACACTGGACGCTGCTCTCTCTTCCTTTCTATCCATCTCCGATCCAAGACCCGATCCAAGACTTCGCCCGCAGTCCAAGACTCCGAAAAGCCATGGAAGGCGGTCAAGCTGGAGATGGTCAAAATCTCATTCCAGCGCTGCTTCCCCACCCACTCAGCCGGGATGGCGGGGCCATTCTCCACCAAATCCGCGGTCGGGCCCACCTGGGCTTCATCTGTTTGATATGCGGGAACCTTTGAGTCGGGATTTGGATGTCTGAAAAGCAAGGCAACTTCTCTGATTCTTTGGGCAAACGGTCAAAAATTATCGATATTGCTTGATCTTTGCCCTGTTCAACATCGCTTTAAATCAAGCACGGACGAGTTTTCGCACACTTCCATTGGTCCGACACTACAAGCGGACTGACTCCACTAGAAGAAATCCTCAACACGATCAACCTTCAACGGCCAAGCTTTGTCCCTCAACGCACGAGTCAAGGCAAATACTGCTCGACTTCAGCTTCACATCCTGCCAAAGAACCAGCAAGAAGCGGAGCTCTGTGTCATCCATCATTTTGTCACCTGCAAAGCTAGCTTGTTGTGGGAGACGCTGGACAGAACACACATCCAAAGGAGCGATGATCTGCGTATGCTGTTTCCAGGCTGAGAGCCACTTCAGGCGTGAAAAACCACAGAACATGGGTGAACCCTCCATGGGATAAACAACCCAGGCATGTTTCAAGGTAGAAACTTTGAAGTAAGAATAGACCCAGCAGTTCCAAAATCTTCCAAAGGGATGCTTAACGGAGGTTAGGGCCTCCCTTTGGAGTTCCCAACTGGGTGCCCATGATTCACTCAGACACGGTTCGCCTCTCAGGATGCTGGTGCAAAGCGCGAAGGAGAACAAGGTCTTATCCTGACGGCGAGGTCCATGGCCCAGCAAGGCCATCCGAGGGATGGTAGAAAAGGTTGTGTGAGTCATGCATAGTTCATGTGGAAAATGCTCTGATGGCAACCTTTGATGAATTGTTCTTCATTGCCAACTATCAATGTGTTGCTGAAAACATCGCCAACAAACAACGTGGCGTGTCCTTGCTGTTTTCGCTCGCACAACTACAGCAACTACTGCACATGCAGTCCTACAGTTCTCCTCTTAGCGCAGAGTGCAACTCTTGGCTCTTGCTTTGGTGTTGTGGTCATTGCTCGACCGTCTCGCTGTTTGGGTCTCTTGTTCTGACAGGGTCTGGGGTCGGTCGAGTCGGTCTCCTTCTCAAAAAGGCCACGGCAGATGGATTGATAGAGCTGCTCTGTGAAGAAGCTCTTCAAGATGCCCAGGCCTCGAGAAGCTTGAGGAGAAAGGATAAACAAGAGACATCAATGAGAAAGCCACGCAACAGTGTAGCAGGGGCAGGGATAAGCATGTAAACATGATGTTCACTTCAAGGATTGTCGTGGTGAAATCTTATGCATGCAAATGAGATCCAATATTGAACAGTTAAATAAAAGTGGGGTGTTGGCAAGAACGGCAAGAACGGCAAGTTGGAGTGCCAAGGAGCGGATTGTTTATCAAGCAAGAACCTAGTCATCCCCCGTGACAGGAGAGATCTCCAACTAGTGAGTGACTAGTGACTAGAAAGGGCTCATGGAGTAATGCTATCCATTAACCTGGCTCCAAGTACCTTCTCAAAAGGTAGACCCCCCCAAAGTCATCCCACCCACCCTGCGAGGTGGTTGGAGCTGTACTTGGACCATTTCAAGCGTCAATGAGGTGCTGTCACTGATCTGCGACTGACTGATCAGCCTGCAGCACTGGACGTCTCACCATTGCCACTGAGCCACGCTCTTCCAAGTCCTCCGCCTTGGGAGAGGTGTCAATGGCGATGGTGAAGAGCTTCTGGAACCACTGGAGGCTGTACCTTCAGGGTTGCAGGTGGTGCCAGCACCCAAGAGCTTCAAAACAACTCGCGCAGGTGACCAAGCAAACGCACCCAAGGGTGGGCGTCATCTACCCCTACAGGTCTTACGGACCTCTGAAAAACTGGATCCGGGATGATCCGAGAAAATGCAAAACCAGCACGAACAATGAGGCCAGTCAGACCAGGCTTCACGCCAGGCCCGACTGGACCTGTAGGGTACGGTGAACTAAGGGCCCTTGGATGCCAATGATTCTTTCGAACACAATTCCCAGATCATAGGACTATCTTCGCCCTCTTCTTGCCTGTTTCAATAGATCGTGGTCCCAAGGGGATGTTGCCTTTCTATCTATCTGGGGGTCTATATAGGCCAAGCAGCCTCAACACTATGTACCCCACCATTCATCCAAGCGGCTGATACATAGGATCGATGTTTGTGAGCTCCACGATGCAAAAGAACAGGACCTCAGGAAGCGCATAAGACTCAGACTTGGGGTCTGAATCCAACGAAATTCTTCAGATGAAAGAGCACGAGGTATAATATTGAACACCTGAACACTCATATTAATTCATAGATCTCCAATTTTTTGAAGCCACATCTCGTCTTAAGAACATCTGGCCCTGGCTAGAAATAACATATGTCGCCCTTCTCATCTCCACCGCCCTTCTCAGGCCACATGTCGTCATAAGACCACCTCGCGCGTCTCTCCAAGAGACTGCTGTTCGGAAGGCCACTGGGCGGTAGCTCTCCCGTGCTGTGTCGATGTTCTTCTCCGTGACCTGAAGCATGTGAGACCATGGCTCACATGGCTTCGTCGCCGGGAATGGTCTTCGGGACAAATGTCGACATGGGGAAAGAGACACACTTTTTGCGCACACTTTTTGAGTCCCGCTGAGTCGGCGAACGGACTGCAACGCATGGGACAAATGATCTTCCAACCTTCGCGACCGCGCGAAACGAGGCAAGATTGTTTCATTGATGGAAGCCACAAGCCGCTTCACCGCACCAGGGTCGGACCCGGCGCGATGTTGACCGCACCTCTGCGACCTTCTTCTTCTCGTTGATGTCATCCGAGACGGCCTTGGAATCGGTGACCTGGCCGCAACGACAACGACAACGACCACGAGCTGTGCGGATCCGTTCAGGGGTGCCATGATGCCCTGCGCTTGGTGCTGGAAACGTCTCGTAGTCCTTTTTTTGGACCCATTGATGTAAACCTTTAGCCTTCCAAGAGGTTCTGAACATGCCCACTTTGGGAAGGATTTGAGACACGTGCCCGTCGATTTGAGAGAACCCCCCGTGGAAGACCCTGTCGTCTCACAAAGATGCCCCATGCTGCAGTACCCTTCAACCCTGCAGTACGGGGTTTGTTGAGCTGCTTCGAGATTGGATGCCCTTCAACCAGTATGGTTGCAGAAACCGGTGCCCCTCGAACAGCAAAATGTACCTTTTTGGAGTGAGAAGCCAAAGTCACCAACAACGGAAGGCATCCCAAACAAACAATCCATCATGGACCATTCCAAAACTGCAGTCACCTCTGATTGTGTCACATCTGATTGTGATATCATGTTATATCAATATGCCCGATGCATGTCAAATGCAAGCAAATCTGGTCAGTCCCCCTGTCCCGCTTGTCACAAACCTATTGCTGGATCTGGTCATGACCTGGGGGCGGTGGGAAGGAAGGAACCTTCCTCACTGACCGGTGTTCAGGACCGCGCCTTATCCACCAAGGTGTCGTCTTCCAAGACGTCTCCTTCACTGGTCGCCAGCAAGCGCAGGATGTCATCCTGCCAAGGCTGAGACGACACGCGGCTGAAGCCACGGCTGAAGCCACGAGTGTAGGCAATCAAGTGGCATGAACCCAAAGGAACGCAGGGGCACTGAATTGCACTTGGACTACCAGTAAAAAAAGACATAAAAAGGCTAATGACACCTGCAACAACTGCCTGCCAACCTGCACTCTACTGCGCTCTTGTACTAGGACTAGGAGTTTTGCAAGTCATTGTTTGCTGGAGTGTTTGCAATTGGGAGTTGATGACAAGCCTGCATGGGCTCTTGAGGTATTTGAGGTATGAGCGCGGAAATTGGACTGCGTCACCTGTTGTACCCAAAGGACAGGGACTGAACAACACGGCAGGTCTTGCGGAGTTCATGGCATTTACTTCCTGGGTCTTGGATGCGTAAAAAGCTCACTGCACCATCCCGGCCACTCCAACATCGACCATCCTGGAGAGAAACATATTGAAATATTCGAAGGGACCACCACCCCACGCCACCCCCCCAAAGAGCCAAGAGGGCGCTCCGACCCCCGCCACGCCAACCTCGATATCTTTCAGGATCTTGTTGTTCTTGGCATTCTGCACGACCAAGTTGTTCTTCTCTTCTTCCAGGTCGGGGCCTACAGGAGCCGGGCACATGGCACATGGCCCGCAGGCCAGGCCGACATGGCCTGAAAAAGCCACATGCCGTTGAAGATTGTGTAAACCATTCGTCTTAGTAGATGTCACATGCCTGATGAGGTAAGAGTAGAACCAAAAGAAAAGAGGACATCTACGTCAATGAATTCTAGGCGTCCTCAAAATTGAACCTCTCAAATGACACAGCTTCGACGAGAGACGTTCTTTGGCCACGACGATGCCCAACATCTGATCCTGCGGCAATCCATGTACGCACGCCCTGAATTTAATGTAATAAGCTGTTGTCGCTTGATAAACCCTCACAGAATTTCTTTACATCTCCATGTGGAGGGTAGAATTCATCACCAATCTACAGCGATTTCAGAGTAGATGGCACAGACCCCATGATGTCCTAGACAAATGGGGGTCCTTATAAACCTATAAACACCTCTTGAGGATGCTTGAGGTCTGTGCCATCTACTCTTAATCCGTTACACCCAGGAAGAATAACAGTTCCCAAAAAAAATCTTGGTGTATGTTAGTGTGAGTGTTTGGCCTATACGGATGAGGTTGGAAAGCGGTTCATATTAGTGTTGGCACATTGGCCCGAGAATATGGAGAAATCATGAAAGGCAAACACCACTTTTTCTAGCCGACTTAGCCTAACATAGATGCATCTTGAGAGTAACTAGACCTGGACCGGGGTTGGTCCATTTTGGCTTGTGGGCTGACATGTTGTCAATTCTGACCTTGAACATGTTTTTAAACTTTGGATGTTGGAGCGTGGCTTGAATGAGATGGCGCAGGACCCCACTCCGATTCCCATGATGCCGGATCGGACCAACAACGGTGGGGACCCAGCACCGTGGTCTTTGGGCAGGATTCGCAGGGTGGTTGGATTCTGGATGAGCTTCTTGTCAGCGGTTTGTCATGTGAAAGAACGAATTCCTATATGAATTGCAGTTGAACACACTGGTGATTAGCAACCTGCACTCCGAATTCAGCGAATCACGGCTAAAATCACGCCTGCAGGCTGTCATAACGCCTGGCTGTCATGTCAACAACTCCACAACTCCATCACTCCCAAGAATCGTCCTCGAGCCCACTGGGAGTGATGGCGAAGTTCAACCTGAGAGGGTCAGGGACTCCCAAGGCCTCTACCAGGGCCTCTAGAGATCAGCTCCCGGCTCCAACTACCGCTTTGAAGGTGGTTGGGGTGGGTGCCAGGAAAATTTCCAGATATTCATTCGATGTTTCATCTAAATCTAATTTCACTCTTGTCATTTCACACTGGCACAAAGCCATCCATCAAACCAATCACCACTCCCATGAGTTTTTGCCACTCCATTTTCGGTGGCTGTTGCCCGTTTGGGTGAAACGCTGTGTTGAACAGCTTGCGGCTTCTGTACCAGCCGCTCAACATTCGGTTGTGGCAAGTTGCCTCTTCAACTCATTAGTTCCTAGTTTGATATAGTATATATCATCCCTTTAAAGGAAAACAAAATATATAAAATCGCACAAACACAAAACCAAAGTGCAAAGCTTGCCACAACAAAACAGATTACGCATCTTACAATGGAGAAGACACGAACTGGTAGGTCGGTCATTGAAGCTACTGCAACTAGCAAATGAGTTGGGGGCACAAACAACGGCTCCTCCTGTTGACTAAATATTTCGATTTGGAAGGCGTCGCATTGGACTGTGGCTGCATTTTCGGTCTTGATCGCCCGAAAGCCGAATGACAATACCACCCATACGCTGTTGCTTTCAAGAAAACATGTTCTGGCTTTTATCACTGTCTGCTTTGTCTTCTTCTCGACATCAACTAAGGCACTATTGGACATGAACGCAAACGATGAACTCACAGCACGTGTTGCAAAGATGGTCGCTCTGCTTAATCCTCGTCATTGCCCATCTCAAAGCTGTTCCAAAACAAAATGAAAGAAATTCAGTTTGAGATCTGCACCTTCTTCAAATAATCCTGTCAACGGAGGGTTTGCAAACGAAAATGCCAGAAAAAAAAGCGGAATGGCAATGATATGGCTGGGATGAGAACATGTCAAGTGCACAATGTTTGAAGGTGCAGGGTCAATCTGGAAAGCATTGCTGACGAACTTGAAGCCGCCATTGTCGTCCTTCAAGGTCAGTCGAGACATTCAAACTCAACCCTTTCCAACCGTGTGCTACTCGCATTTACTTACCAAAGGGCACAGCAAAGGACCAAACATGCCAAAGGGCATGGCAGAAAATCATACAAAGTCTTTAGTCTAAATCATCTTTATCAAATTGAGGAATCTTATTTCAATACATATTTCATAAATCCTGAGGAATGAACGACCCTGCAAGCTTCTCCCTAAAAGTCCTGAACACAGTGTATTATCTTGCACAGTGGACTTACCCTTCATCACGCTTTATTTTGGGGCATGGCTTTTTGTCAAAAATAGTTCTTCCTACACCTAACAAAAGGGCACAGCAAAGGAACAAGGGCATGGCAGAAAACATACAAAGGAAAGGAAACGACTACTGTACTTCTGATTGTTTGGGGGTGGGTTCTTCTCTGCAGTTTTTGCTATACTAATCATGCGTTTCATGTGGAACTGTCGTCAGTCCTTCTGGAGCTGCCTCACCCAGTCTGTGATAGGGAGAAGTGCAGTTGGTCTATCTCCAGTCATGATGTATCGTTTGGTACTTCTGGGTCTCCAGCAGCCATATATGCATCAGGGATCTTCGACTGCTCTAGAACTTCAGCCATGAGACCGTCTAAGACGTCTACTTCTTCAGCTCCTGCATCAGCTGGTTTTCTTCGCTTCTTCAATAGTTTTTGCAGTAGTTTTTGCATATCCAAGCAATTCAGAAGCGCGCGCCCGCGTCTGTTCAGACCATCGGTAGAACGTTCCTGGCATCTGCTGCGGTGATATCTTCGTAGCATCACCATTGAGACGGGAAATCTCTTCCGCTGCAGTTTCACTCTGCACGATGAAAATGATCTGGTGAAGGTTGTCACATGCAGCCCGGGCAAGCACTCTCACTCTATCTCCCTGATTGAGAATACCACCATCCAGAACATTGTCAAAAAGTACTTCAGTCTGATCCCCTTCTCTTTCAGAATGGTGAAGAGGGGGCGAACAATTTCTGCAGTAAACTCCACATTGGAGAGGCGCAAGAAGCTCTTTAGTTGCCGTTCAAAGTCGTTCTGCAAAAGCATGATTATATCCTTCGTCTGTCTCCCTAACAGTTCAAGCGCTGCCAGTGCTGCGGCAGTTGACTTTCCGGCACCTGGCTCCGCATGCACCGCGTAGACTCCAATCATGCTGGTATTCCGAAGCGTTGCAACCATGAGTTTCTCGAAGGGTGTACCTCTGATTGGCAGAAGAGGCAAGTCTTCCTCTTGCGCAAACGGGATCAGAACATTCTGTCCTGCAGTCACGGCTTTTTCAATCTCTCCTGCTAACTCTGATGCATGGTTCTTGGCACACTGCGCATCTTCACCTTCAAAAGGTGCTTGTGTTTCCATTCGCTGGCAAATGTCTGCACTTGTTGACAACTTTTCAACAGCTGGGCTGCAAATGTCAATTTCGATGCCACGGTAGCCCATGCAGCTTGCACAGCTGGATCTTGAGCTGCATCAAAGAAAACAGAAAGCACATTTGGAACACTTCTGGACATGAGATCCCGTGTAGAACATCTAGTCTGTGGTGTTGCAAACGCCAGTGTTCCTGCCCACCGCCAAATAGCTGCCAAAGCAACCGCATGTAGTACTCGTCTGATTTGGGGCTTCATGCGGAGCACAAATCTACATGTTCGCGGCCATTGGCATCCAAAACAGGAAGTTGAGGGGGCTGAATTTGGTATCAGTGTGGCGTTGGTTGAAAATCAAACATTGCCATAAATACATAAACAAATTCTCAAGGTCTGAACATGACACCTCGGTTTCTTTTGGATCCGACCAATAATTGGTTTCTTGTTTGCTAGGATTTGTGAGGTTAAAACTGCAGTCGCAGGTGTGATCAGAAAACCAGAAAGCTTGTCAAGCGCACAACCCCTTTCAACAAGCACATGCTCCGGCATGCAAACGCTGGCTGCAAAACAAGTACAATGAAAACAAGTGCGCGCACAAAGTGCAACATAATGCAACAACACTTGTTCTACCTGACGATGACAACCATCTTTCAAGAGCTTTTCGGAACTGAAAGAAATAGCAGCAGCTACTACACCCTTTGCATTTCATTTCCAAGCCCTTCGGATTTCCTTTCCAAAACCTTTAAAGGTTCTTTCCCCACCTGTTGTTGGGTTTCAACATAACTAATGTAGTTCATCTTCTGACTCAATCCTTGCTTCACATTGTCTTTCCCTGCTGCCTTCCATTGGCAGGTGGAACAGCAAACAAAACACTGTATTCCACCAATTTTCATCAGATTATCTTTCGATGTTCCATCTATTTTCCCTCTTGTCATTTAACACTGGAAAAAGGCACAACAGAAAACGCGCTTGCGTGCACAAATCCATCCATCAAACTATTCACCACGGTGCTTTATCTGGATTCAAACGTTCTCTGTTGCTTTGCATCTTGTCTCTGGGGAAATCAAAGCGGCTGCCTCAGAATTGTCGCCCTCCAGAATTTGGTGTCTCCAGATGTGCTTGGAGCATCCAGTTCATGCACCCAAGCAACCCAAACACACGCCGCACGTGTCTGGAAACATATATATATAAATAAGGGGGTTGGTGCCGCCCTGTTAGTCTAACCAGTGAACTACTCTCATGATGTCACCCTGATGACCTCTAAGGCCTCTAAGGTTTATCTCCCTGTCGACAAGCCATCCATCATCTCTGATGGGAAGACGTCGTCCTGAAGATCACATCTGACATCTGACAGGTTGGAAAATCACCAAATTCCCCACAATTCCTGTTCTCTTGTGAACCCCATGCGGCGCCATGCGACCTACAAACATCTACATAGAAATCTATCGAAACTCTCCACCAGCTTCTTCAGTTTGTGACCTTGTTAGAGTCCCATCCAGTGACTTGTAAAACAGGCCTCATCCAGTGACACCGGTTTGTCTTCAGCTCGGGCCCCCAGCAGCGTCACCTTCACCGACGTCTCTGGCCTCGGGATGATCCAAAACCTGGTTTTACCTTCGAGAGACAATTCAGTGACCGGTTTCGGACCAAACCTGCAATACCAGACTGGGATATAAAAACAACGTTCGGGTCATTCAACCTTGCGTTTCGGGTTGCGTTTCGATCGGGGAAGGGTGGGAGTCCGAGATGTTTTCGTCCTAAAGATCGGAAGGAGGGTTTGGGGCCATCGCTGAATCTGAGAAACGTTGCAAACCAGGTTGCCCTTGTTCTCCATCGCTTTGTCAAACACCCAACGGGTCATGGGGCCGCAGCCCGCCGCGCGTCGCTTCGCTGCGGCGAAGCGAAGGGGTTGGTCGAAAGAGTTCGGGATTGGTCGGGACGTATGGCATGGTGGCATGGTGGCACTATATAAAACTGAATTCATATGGTGGTCGTATGGTGGCACCATGGTGGCATCGTACAAGCTGTCGAGAATGAATCCGATGGTGACAACGCTGTTCCAAGTCCTGTAGTTTGATGCTATCCACTTCCCATGCGCGATCCAAGAGGAAACAACACTGATATCACTATATAGTATATATAAGTTATAGAAGCCAAGTGGCTCGTCTGTCAAACTGCCCAACACGCCCTTACCATTCATGTTTGAATCGCCTCAACCTGCGCGGTAAAGATTCGGTGAAACCACTCGGGTGAAAGACCGCCCATTCCGCCATTTTAGGCGGCCCGGGCGAGTAGTGTGGGTTGGGCAACGTGGTGGTCATGAAGAACTTGAAGGTTTCCTAAGCGTCGCTCCACACGGTAAAGCGTGATCGGTCGATCGTGCTCGAGCCAAGCCTTCCCCTTGGGCCCGGAGCCAGGCCCCGGTAGAACAAACACTTACACTCTAAGACATCAAGGTGAAGCCCGTTCGCCAAAATCGTGAGGACATGAATCAGTGAACCGAAAAATGTCTAAGTCCATCCAAGTCCCAAAACTTAAGTTACTTAATTACCCAGGCACTCTCCCCGGCACTCTTTCCCGGTCAAATCTAAGGTTTATATCCAGGCACTCTCCCCGGTCCACATCTAAGTGTTTCGGCAGCAGTTTGGGCATCCGCATCCCAGGATCGGTGTAGGTCACCGACTTATCACCCAGCTTGATGACGTAGCCTGAGCCGTCCTGTTTGACGGGGGCTTTTCGCTTCGGTGAGTGGCAGGAGTTCTTAGTTCAGGCCATTTGGTGGACTCAAACGAACCAAACACATACAAAAGAGATCAACAAAAGGATGAAACTACTGTAAACTACTTAATTAAAATGTCTACTTCTCACCTGCTCAAAGAGGCACCAGCATGCTTGAACGATACAATGCGTGTAACTCTTCGTGTTGCATGATTCTGAAACACGTCGTGTTGCATGTGTCTAAAGTATGTGGTCACAACATCCCGGCGCATGTGGTCACCTCAAACCAATTGGTTCCACAGGGCCACGGCCTTGTGATTGCCCCGACGGCGGAGAATCGGGGAATCCAACACAAGGACGGAAGAACACCCACCATATACCAGGACCATATACCGGGGTGGTTAATGGACACCCCGAATCACAGCTATATAAGGGGCTATAAATGGACACGCCCACAGGAGGGTCCTGGTATGATATGTGCTTGGTGAATATATAGCGTATATTGTCCACATACATGCTGCGAACAAGGACCTTCTCACCTTCTCCATGGAGAATCAACACCTGCGATTCGCGTGAACTGAACTTTCCTTCAGGGTGGACCCCAGCACTCATGTTGAGTCCTCACTGGCTTTAAATAGTAATGTCCGATCTGACTTGGCCATGCGTTTACATGGCGGATGTCATTCCAAACGTTCTCAGGACTGCCACTATGCGGCTTGCTCACATAGCTGCTGACTCGTCGTACGTGACATGTTCACATCGGATTGGAAACTGTCAGGTCAGGTCATCGAAACTGAAGACAGCGCTCAAATCATGTTGCTGCCCCCGACACAAGAACCCATTGTCGAGTCGTCTACCAGGACGTGTCCATTCAATTCCCCTTTTTTAGGGGGTGTCGACTACACACCCCTTGCGAGTCTATCATCTATAGTCTATATATTATGTATATAATGTCTTTGTTCAATCTATTCATCTTTGGGACTGATTGCTTTGAAGGTCAGGGCAAAGAACGTGCCCAGTGTCAGGCCGCCATCCACTTCGGCCGTCAGGCCCGAGCTTCAGCTCGGGTTGTGAAGTCCGCGCGCAGCTGGCTCTGGTGTGGTGCTGTCGGACGGGCACCCATGACACCCTTTGACTCACAAACCTCATGCACCTCCTGCACCACCTCATGCATCACCTCATGGAAGTGGAGTTCACCACCTCATGCACCTCTCTTTGTGATAAATGGTCCTTCCAGTGGCGCCATCCACTTCCGCGTCAGTGAAATGGAGTACAATGACGTACCCATCTCATCTGCTATAAATGTTCTATCCTGCTACACCTCATCCCATGAGATCCCACCTCAAAGCAACACAAAAAACCAAACACCCAAGACCTCCGACCGTCTCAGAGACCTCCCTCGGCCCCGGAAACGTCGGGTTACGGTCCTTGATCTTCTGCTGTCCCAGTACCGGCTCGAGGGCAGGATCCAAGTTGATGCCGATGTTCTCCAGCCTCCAAGCCCGAGCGGAACGCGACACGAGAACAGGAGTCGGTGGCTGTGAAGATCGAGAAGAGGAGGAGTTCGAGTTCTTCTTCCTGGAGTTTTTCACAATTAAGTGCTATATATCATGCATTTCCGTTGACTGAACTTGTCTGAACTTGTGCTCAATTTGGAGCTTTATTCGTTTTGTGTGTCCAGCACACAGCAAGGGATGAAGTTCCTGCATTGGTTATTTTTTTCGGGGGGGGTGGTTTGAGACCATCCAGGGTGAGAAAGCCATGTTCCGTGAATGCCTGGACAAGTGGCAGGGGGATTCAGAAAGAAAAACATAGCAAAAAAGCACTGGGCAGCATCTGTGCATGTGCTTGCATGTGCTTGGTTAAAATACACATGCACATATGGTCCGTCAGACTACGGTCCACCAGCGGTTAGCCGGACATTGGTTAGGTCCACCAGTGGTTAGCTTGGCTAACCATATTAATACACACATGGTGCTGCACGTGAACCTTGAGAACATCAATTCAGTTTGATGGTCCGTCCGTCAGACAACCACTCCGCGGAATCATGGAAGCGGAATGAAGTGGGATTCATGGTCCCTTGGATGGGCAAGGGACCTTTTTTGGTCCTATAAATGAGTGGTCAGTGGTCTTCCACTTCCATGATGCCAGGGAGCACATGGTTTTTGCATCGCCCGTTCCATCCCAACTTGCACGTCCGAGCCCCCGTGCAAGATCCATTTGCCGAACTGGATGCCCAGCTCGAGCCTTGAAGCCCAGGGCAAGCCACGCAGAAAGAAGAAAAGAACCACAAGGATGCCAGGTGCATTGTGTTAAACTCCGGCTCACTAACATATAGAAGTGGACAATGGCCTCTTGAGAAACATACTATGTTTTGTTGAGGATGTTGAGGAGAGTTGGGATCAGCGTACAGTTCTAGAACTCTCATTAATATCTTGTATCTTCTTGTCAGATTGTGTGCTGCAGCTACATGTACTTGTGCCATCTATTTCGCAAAATTCCCTTAGCGCCCACGGTTTTTACACACACTGAACAAAGGACGCTGACACCGACTGGAGGCAGTGGATAGCACATCGCATGGTTTTTAGACTCCCAGTAGCACCCGGCAGCCAAAAAAACGATATTGGGCGAAGCCCCATGGATCCGCGTTGATGAACATGGGCCAAACCCACATTGGGTGTGTGAGGGCCCCGGAGCGATGACAAGGTCTTGAAGGTGGCCAGTGAGGTCATGTTTCAATGAAAACTGTGGCGCATTGAGTGACAAAAGGCCTTGCTGTGAAGTTCCACCTTTGGGAACAGGGATCTTGAGTCTATCCCATTGCCAGTAACCAGTAACAGCGGATGATGATGATGATGATGATGATGATGATGATGATGATGATGATGA